CTGGGATTTCTCATTTTTCAATGATTGAAAAGCTTGTTCGAGAATTTTTAACAATCTGGAGAATTTAATAAAAAAATGTATACACATATACAATGTCATTCGCATTGAAATACGAAATACAAAGAAATATCTATACTTAATATTCAATTGATTATTAGAAGAGATAAGAACATTCTGAAAATAAATATTTAACTAAATATTTAAATATATAACTCTAAAAAATTCTGTTCCTTCCTAGTGGATACTTTTCTAATTATAAAACAAAGTTTTCTGGTAACATTCTGGTAACGGTCCACTGAATGAACATTTTCTTGAATACATTACAGTAATGAGCAAATCACAGACACTGAAAAGGACCATAAATCTTGATGGCCGAAACATTTCTTAAATAAAATTCTATAGTAGACGGCCCTCGAATGAAATGCTTCTACATCTTTCAAGTAAATAACGCGGTAATGAATAAAATTTGATTACTGCAGAAAGTAATTCGCAACGCTTTTCATTTTTGTTGCTTAAAGGCAACCGTGCATTCGACGAATAATTTTATACAAAACCCATTCGTCAAGTAAAAGTAGCGCAATTATTTCTTCTTCGTTCGACGGTGCTAATTTTAATTAGATCGTCGACGTCTCTTGGATGACCGACTTCATAAATTTTTAATTCGTCAACCGCCGTGAATTCCAATTAGCCGATTCGAGAAATGCCTTCGTTGCACTCGCTCAAAAACGAGCGTAACGGGCGTTTCTCACATTTCAACGGTCTCGAAAACGGAATGAAAATTTCAACGATGAACGGAATGCAGACGACGCAGACTAGAATGTTCGATTGCAAATTACGTACAAATCGAATACAAGATAACTTTATAAGGGTGCCAATAATTCTAAAAGCAATTAAAATTTGTGGATCATAAATGGAATGTTAATAAAGTGAAATTAGCATATATAATATATAAAGGATATTTTAAAATCAAATTAATAATTAATAATTAATTCCGCTGTATACGAAGTTTCTACCGAATTAATTATTCGGTAAATCAAATTTGTAATGATGAGGCCATCGGTATTGCTACTTGATTAACTGACGTCCTATTACGTTGTATAAAACGAAAGTTATCACGGGTTATCTACAAATTACGTTTCCCTCTTTGACGCGATAGTGATTCTATGTATTCAAATTCCGATATCCTTGAAAGTTGCGTGCACGGTAATAACAAGAAAATTAAAAATAACAACTTTGCTACCGTTCATCTATTACCATTATGTATTACATATTGCTGTTTCTTCTGAAGGTGACGTAACGCATAGTTGTATTATCCTCAAGACTGATGGATAAGGCTGTACAATCTCGAAACTTTGCGTCAGAATGATGAAGGAAACGCGCAGAAAATATCGGAAATGCCGTCGATTTATATACTGTCACGAACAACGGGATATTTCGATTTCAGTTTTGCTTTTGTTATCCGCGGTAATCGACGTGCAACATTCTCAGAGTTCCTCCGCGAATTAACATAACAGATGCTTTCTGCTGTATTCACGAACAGGAAGAACGGAACGGCGGACTCTTCGTAAAACACTGCTCGATATATATATATATATTATTCTCCCTCGAGAAAGGGAGAAAAATATACGGTATTCCGTTATTAATAACGAAAAAAAAAAAAAAAAATGAAACAAAATAATCTTCCTACAAACGAAAATTGTCGTTCGATATGTTCCAATTTCAGAGCATAACAACTTCTACTTATATACGACGTACACCTATTGTCAGAGACCCTGTATAATTATGGATCCACCCAAACAAAGATACACGATTATGGCTTACAAGTACTCGTACAGAGGACAACGATAATAAAATCGTCTCTAGCAAGCCAGGACTTTGTCCGAGTGACGGTTGACATTTATGCGTGGGTGATCCCTAGCTAGATACAGCATCTAGAATCGATATAAGAAACCGTTTCTCGCTCGTGGCATTTAATTCACTTTCTATCGAGAAGACATTCGTCTTCGTGACGCACGTTTCCACTAAATTGTTGCTTTTCGTTGAAGCGTCGTCGAATGAAAAACATCGATCTGAAGCGTACGAATTAGTTTCTATCTCCGGAAAGACTTGAAATCACGGGAAGTATCACCATTTAATACCATTCATCAACGCCTACGTTATTTCTTTTCTCCTAAATCCGTTGCGAAAACCGAAACGAGCTCGATCGCGTCGATTTCTACGACTTTTCCAAGAGACAGAACGGAGGTGGCCTCTTCTTGCACAATTCCGTGATGAAAAAATTCCGTCCTTCGTAAAATGGATTGTCAGTTTGAACTCTGTTGCAATCGTACAACACGAACGTCTAGAGTAATCATTATCGGTTTACGTTACAAATATACAAATTGAATGGTCGGTGTAGTTGGACGATTTTTGATTTGTTGCGAGTCTTCTCGTTAATCAAGTACGATTTTAACGTACATACAAATTAAATATTCAATGTGATAATTCAGTGATATATCGTGCACGATCTGCTTCTCGTAATCTAACGTTGAAAAAGAAAGAGATTCTATTTCACCGATGCGCGATACACAAGTTATACTTCAGTATGGAATTATGGTTTTTGTTGCGATACTTTTATCGAAATGAAGCTCCTCGTTAATCAGAACAAGATTCGTAATTGTACGATAACGAGACAATTCCGTCGTTATCTTCATGAAGCTTTGTTTTCGTTGTAAACCTGTGTACCAACAATGTCGATTGTAAGTAATTCTGTGACAATAAAACAAAGTTCAATTCGAAAGTTATCGTCGCATCGAATGAATTACATTTACATTTTACAAATATCGTAACGCAATGCCCTTAAATTAAATTGCAAAAATTTAGTCGTACAAATTTCACGTGAAAAAAGATTCACAGCAGGTTAAAGAGTGAAGAATTTGGTAATATAACGTTATAGTATGTAAAATGTAATTTTATGTATTATTTAATATTGATATAAAAGTACAATTGCACTCTGTTAAATGGAGAACAACCATTGGTTGTGTAATTATTTACATTCATCTTTAAACACACCGATGGGGACAAAATGTGTTAAAAAATTAACGAATATCAAATCTTTGAATTGTTGTGCTTCGTGTCACGTGTCAGAAGAGAATGGAATCATTTTAATCATGCAATCATCAATTTCTTCGTTGAAATACAAATGTGTATAAAATTTTACCTTCGATATATGTACAGTGTGCTGCTCGATATCTTTTACGAACTATTTTGAAATTGTAAATTCCACGGCAACTCATTGTTAGACAAATCTCGCGGCCATCTCTACTCAACGGTAACAATTGGAAGTACCAAAAGGGCTAAGGGTTTAAATTAGTAATTAAGTGATATGTGTTATTACTAATAACAATAATGTGAAATAAAATATAAGATGTTTAAAATTGTTATTTAAACATTCCTTCTGAAATATGTTTTCATATTTTTGTTATTAGAGGAACCGAAAGAAAATATTTTTCTTTCATTTAAAATACTCTTATCACGCACTTATCGTTAAATCCTTTAGTACTTCCACTCTGAACTTGTTTGTTCTATTTTTTTTTTTTTTTGTTTTATAATTTCGTGTTTTTATTACGAAATATTTACACTTAGTCTTTGAATTTTGGTAATATAAAACGACATAGCTTAGGACTTAAAATTTTCCACGCAGCAGAATTGGGAATACGTCGGAAATGTATCATCTCAATTAGGGGTTGAGATTACTCGATTAATTTAGTATTTCGGTATTTATAAATGTTCGAAACTTACGACAAAATTTTGATTATTCGGCCATTCAAATTATTCGAACATTTGCAATTCAAATATCAGTATTTGAATATCTCTCGACTTGAATACCTGTATTCGAATATATCGTATAGTAATTCGCTATCCAAGGCAATCATATAATTAATATCATCGAATATTCTTTGTTATTATAATCCATTATCGATGGAATTATATATAAATAGTATCCATTAACGTAATCGAATGTATCAATGACGTTTGAGTTTAAGCATCTGTATTTTAATCCATCCGATGATTTCAAAATCATCGAAATCGGTGTTCTCTCACTCTTTTCTGGATAATTATCGATTCGTGTAGTATCCGTATCGCGATATATTCGAATTGTATTTATTTGATCAATATTCCTATTGTATTCTAATAGTCAATATCCAACTATTCAAGTATCCCAATCGCGTTCAAATAGTCCAGTATTCGAATTACATGCCGATACTTTCCAACATTACCGATCAACTATTGTTCCGGCACTGCAATTATTCGAACAACATTCGTCGTGATTTCGAATCACAAAGTATAGATCCGAACACAGATGAATTGGAACAAGTAGTCTCAGCCCCGGTCGAAACTTCCGTTGCGAACGCCCGAAAACCGTGTTGAGATTCAACGAGGTATCGTCGAGTGGCCAGTGAGAACAGAGTTCGGGCAATAAATCTCTCCTCGAGGAACAAAAGTATAACGAATAACCGGCTGGAGAATTCGTTCGTGGCCGTACGTTTCCGTTTCATCCTCCGTTCTTTCTCTGGTCGAATCGTTCGAAAACGTTAGCGCTCTCGCGTCTCGTTTATACCGAAGAGCGCACGTCGTTATTTACATCGAAGGCGATGATTTACGTTCTACCGCGTCGCAGCCGCTACTTCTTTTTTTTTTTTTTTTTTTTTTTTTTGTTCCGTTCCTACACATCGAGTTCCTACGTAACGTAGTACGGTGGCTCGGTAATTCGCATTGGATACGGATCGTGAGATATATACAAAGCGATAGACCGAGAGAGGCGGTGAGGATCCTTCCGGTTGCTAAGCGTAGATGGTGCTGTTGCACTTCTCTTTCCGCTACACTAATAAAACTCGGTCTAATCGAGGTTTATACCCGTGTAGGATGCGTATGCGTGTACATTGCGTGGAAATGAGAGAAAGACAGAAAAGAAAGAGAAGACGGTCATGTGTAGGTGTCAATTTATGAACTCGTTATACCGGCGTCTTTGGCAGTTTCCTGCGCGTCGGTGATGAGGGCGTTTTATCCGTTTCCGCTTCTGTAAAACATTTCACATTCTTCGTCAGAACAGCACCGACACTCCCACACTTGGTGGGAGACAAACATGATAAAATTGTGCAGGGCGTTTACATTACTCGCGCCGTTCGCAATATTTGTGCAATATTGACAAAAATATATAACAGAGCAATAATTTCCAAACATATTCGAAGGCGACCATCGAAGGATAAAGAAAATTCGTCGATAAAGAGATTTATTCAATTGATTCAGAATGAAACTGGTTTCATTTGATTTTGTATATTCTGTGAATAGTTCCATTAAAACGCGTGTTTCGATGTTTTGTCTTGTCGGTGCCGGTACGTGTCGTTGTCGGAACGTGACGGTCCGTGTCGTTATAGTTTGAATCGACCTTAACTCAGCACATATCGCCAGTCCCGACCGAATCGCTTATTTCGCGACAATACCGTGTTCCTATCGCTGCGATTGGAAGAGATATTTAGGTGTCCTGATTTATGCAGGCCACTCCGTATACTTTCCATCTGTCTCCAAACAAAATTTTCGCCTCGTAGAAATATCTACGAATGTAGCAATCAACGCGTTAACGTGAATTGATCTCGGTTGTACTCACCCATCAGCAGGCCCATATTTCCTGGCACTTTTCCCGTCGTCGGTACCGTACCTAGATCATCGGGCATGTCCACGCTGCATTCGCATCAGGCAAAAGTGTCGATGATACAATCGATTCGCGGATTCGACTCGGCTCCTTCTCGCTGTCGGTGTTCAATTATCTACGGTACTTACGTATCGGAAACGTGCTCCACCACCAGCTCGACTACGTCGTCGCCGCGGTCGGTTATCTGGACGACTTCCTCGTAGCTTCGATCCACCAATGACACTCCGCCCCATTCTAACACCTGGGGAAAAAGATTTTAATTCAACTTCTCCGTTTACGTGAAGAAAACGGCAGTTTAAATTGTCAGCCGGTTACGTCGGCTACAGTTATCGACCCAACGCAAAAGTTTCTTCGTTTCGCATTTCCTCTCGTTCCAGAGTTGGCAAGTGTCGCGGAGATAAGGAACGCTCTTTACTTTATTACGAGAAAACGAGCGTCTCATTTTTTCCCGTGTAACTTGTTGAAAGCGCACTTCGAATTACGGGCGAGTTAAGAATTTCATAAACACGCGTTAGATTTACGATCCGGTAAACGAAGTATGAAACGTAGAGTGGTGGATAATTTGATGCTTGAAATGGAAGGCGGGGTGCTGTCGCTGATTATACGAAGCTTCCGCGCGCAAACTTGGCAAATATCATCCGACCAGGAACGATCGCGTCTGCTGAATACGAACTTCCGCGATCTTTGAACGGATCGATTTACTAAATTGCCGGCTGTCGATGGAAATAAGCTGAAAACTTCGGCTGATTCACGAGATGAATTTTTCACAATGAATTAAGGAAACTTTCCCTTTGGCATTATTAGTTTGCACTTTGTTTGTTTATTTTCAGATATTAAAGACTTTCCCAAAGGGACTTTAGGATTTTGATGTTCAATCAATGTTATTATATGCATGGGATATATCCGATTTATATAATGTATACAAAATGTACGTATACCTACATACATCTACTAGGTGTAGAAATGAATTCTGAGTCTTTATATTCACGTATTTTTAATTCTAGCACACTATTCTAGTAAACTATACTATATTTATATTTATATGTAAAATGTATACATGTACCTACTAAGTGTAAGTGTACTAAGTGTAGACGTAAGAAAATCGAATTCAAGTTGTTGAGTAAAATAAATAACACTATACTTTACACTATTCGAACAGTAATCGATTTTGTGATCCATGTTTTACAAAACAAGAATATACATGCAGACTTCGAGACAATATAGGTGAATTTGATGTCAGAGTTAATTATAATTAATTACGGATTGGTCGATACCACGCAAACACAGAACATCTATCGAATGTCCCTGTAATTTGCTCTAATTAGAATCCGACAGGAGCCAAAATTTACCGAACAAGAAGATCGAAATCCAAAAAGCAGAGGCGTTTAATATTCGTTTCGTTCGATTGTTAAAGAAAGTATTGCTGCACTGTTGGAGAAGTAAATGTAAAATTTATACGGATGACAAAACAGAATCTATGAAACGATAAAAATGCCATAGGAGCTCACCGCACGGCTTTGTAGCTCTTTGAAAATCTCTGTTTTGGATTTCCGTTTCCAGATCAAATAAAGCTATCGATATTTCAAACGAATGCTCTAAAACTAAAATATAAAAATAAATCTAGCGAAAGCCAAGAATAAAAATTTGAAAGTATTCCAAAGCTCTGGAAACTGTTGGTAGGGTTCACGTAAAAGTTTCAATTTTGTTTCAATAATGTCGTCATAATTTTCACTGTCTTAAGTTACTAAACGCGCTTCGAATAGCGATCGAATGGTAGATGTGAATTAATATACATTTCGCTAAATAACATTTTACATATTATAATTCAAGAGACGAAATAGCTCGCACCTACGTTTAGTAAAATATTTTTAATTTCAATTAGGTATTTTGAAAGGAATTAGTTGACGAGTGAAAGATCTATAACTACTACGTGATATCAGGCTTAATAACAAATACGCTTTAGGAAGGAGAAGCACTGTGTGACGCACTATTCACTGGAGTACTTGAAATTGATATTAGTTACGTTATAAGCGATTAGTTGCGGTGTGTAAAACGTATAATTACCACGCGTTTGAATTATATACATCGTGTAAAATTCAAAGACCATATGTCAATGAATTCGTACGTTTTTCCGAGGTATAGTATACCAGTTGACGTTTGCGTCTGTACCGCGTTTCCGTTACGCGCAGCTGTCGATAACTTAATTAAAATCACAGCTGGAGAGAATGCTTCTCGATACTCTCACGCATTAACCGCTTACAATAACGTTATGCGCTAAACAATAGATTCGCGTTGTCGAGACTTGGCTTTTATTTTATTCTAAATTAAAATTATTATTATACTAATATAACAAGCAATAAAATTATTTACTTGCATTGTTCGATCAAAAACAATTTACGAAAACGCGTCTATTTTCGAGCTGTAACTGCGATGTGCTCCCTTGACGCAAAAGAGTTTTTGTCTTTAATATTATCCTCTTCGATATTTAAAAAATAAATCGTACTTTATACAAACGTCCAGAAAGAGAAACAACATTTTCCAGAGTGTTTCTCGCGAAGGATCGTCAATGTGGATATTCCTTGAACCGTATTTGAATTTCAAACTCTTCTTAAACCTTAATTCATTATGAAACGTTCGATAAAACGCGACGCGGAAAAAGGGACACCGGATCAGCGTGCTTCTTTAAGTTTACATATTAAAGCAAGCGCGTTTCGTGTAGCGAAAAAATGTACGAAGTTCTCATACCTTGTCGTTCCGCAGTATACCAGCTTTTGCTGCTGGTCCATCTGGCACCGTCCACATCACGTATGCAAAAGTATGGCCATCAGCCCCTGTTTTACCACCTACCACTCTTAGACCAAAACCAGCCACTGCAAAAACAAGTTGAAAGTTTAATAAAGGGATTCCTGAAACATGCGCAGTTACGGTTCCACCGCTAAACAATTTTTACAAAACATTATTTAGCTCTTAGGAAAAAAGTCCTATATAAGTGTAGTTTTCGAGGAAAACTGGTCGTTCTTCGCGCGTACAAGTAAAGACATTCACCCTAAACGATAGCGTCAGTAATATTTAAATTTCGTGTCCTCGATCGGGGACGCCAGGTGTGAGAGTGTTAATAACTCGAGTGGAGGCTTTAAGTAAATAGAAAAATAGAAATGTATCGAAAAGATGTAATTAACGTAACGTACAAATATTAAAGTTCGTAATGATATATTTATAAATGCTATGTCATTACTAGTATTCGCAAAGAGTTGTTGCTACTTAAAAGTCTTTTATAGAAAAGACAAAAAATAGATCGTATTAATACAGAAAAAACACCGTTTCAATACGCTTCGAACGATGATCAAATTCGTAATTAGATGGTCATTTTACAGGTATTCAGCTTCATTGCTAAATAGCCAGTGCCGGATAATTGTTAATTTGCATGAAAGCAAGTTATTCGATAGTTTCACGAAGCTGAGGGCTTCAATATTCAGGTAAAAATTTCTAGCTACATGGCCCCGGAATAATAAATAATATTGAAAAAAGTTGTAAAAGCCATCAGAGAGGGTGTGCAGTTGACCTTTATGTTTGTAAATTAGTATTCATCACGGCTACTTCATACAGAGTTGAAAATTTCAGTGTATTCGAAGCACGGGCCTTTGTGCAAAATTATAAATTAAACGAGCCTTGATACGCGAACCAATAACGTTATACATACGTACGTCAAGAAGACTTTATTACATGGCGTACACGAACGACAGCCGTATGCAATTTCGCACTGCATAGTCATTATCTCCTCATAATTACGCTTTAATATACACTGAAAACGTCGATCTATAAAATCTTGCAAAATAGTAACCAACTTGGTAACAAATTATTGTTTTTTTATGTTATGTTTTTTATGTTATAATGTTTATTTTCCGAATATTTTATTATTAAAGAAAAGAAGTAATTTTTTCATAGTAAAAAGAACTAAAAATAACAAACAACAGTACTATAAGCTACTATAAACAATATTTTTGATGAAAAATCATATCAACGTTATTTAGAACCATCATTATTAAAGGGGTTGCACCACTTTGCCCACTGGAATTTTCATGCTTTTCCAAGAATTTTTATTAAAGCAATAACAAGATTTTGTTTACATCGAACTGCATTAACTAACGTTTTGCAAAATGCATTTTTGCAAAATGACAATTTATTTATACGCTTTAAACATGTCAAACCTTTGTCAACCCTACGTCAATCCTTTAATTGTAGCGAACTGTAGTTTCAATCCGTTTCTGCTCTCTTTAATTTTTTAAACTCGCTACGATCCATTTTCAACGAGATAATGAAGCTTTGTTTCGAAATACAACTCTGTTTCAAGCAGCCAATTTTTGATGTCACTTATCTCGACTGCCATTTATAAATGAAACAATGCAGGAATTTTCGAATGTGACGAGCATCCCAGAAAACGAATAACGTCCACAATTTAATAAATGAACAGTAGCTCTGTGATTTCACTGACAACAGATAAACGCTTCTGTGCAAATACATGCTCGTCATGAAGCATAAATAATAAGTTGAGAACGTATCGATTCCTGTTAAATACACAAATAGTTTTCCACTAATCATATAAATTACTTTATTGTCAAATGAAAATTTATTTCTATTGTTTCGAGAAGTTTGTAAATGTAAAATAATAATGATTAGATTGCGGATTATATGCATTCGTGGTATACACTACTATGAAAATCGTACAAAAAGTATACATAATTAACATTAATATTTCGTTTTGTATAGGTGTATATACTTTTTAATTACGTTTAACACGTATTTGCCACATTTGCTTGTGTCACAAATGCATAATATCTCCAGTTCAATAACGACCAATATCTGCAGTCTGAACACAAATATTATTCACGTATTTATTTTAAATAAAAGTGCACGTAGTTGCAATTAAACATGGAAGGTGATGCCGACCACGATTACGCTGACGCTTGGTAATAAAAGACGAAACTCCAAAGCGTCTTTCGGAAACCTTGTAATTACCTTAATCCGAACTTATTATTCTCGTCCCTTAACACGTTGACTGCGAAGGACGCACGGTGTGCGTTCTGTAATTTTCCCACAAAACTCGTAACATGTCCGGTCAAAATAGGGATTCCTTCGAGTGACTGTTTATGTCAATAGATGTACTATTCGTCCGCAAGAAGAGGGCTGGACAAGTGTTTACGTCTCTGTTCTGCTACATAAGTACAGTTAACGAGTAGTAAATACAAGTAAATGTAAGCACTTGCATGACCTTCTTCTCGCGGATGGACAGTAGAGTAGAAAACGGACGATATTGAAATAAAATTGATTACCGTTTAGAAACATGGTAACAACTATGGTTTTTAGTGTATTATTATAACGCGCATACAACCGGGTTACTCGGGTTACAGACGTCTTGTGTTACCTGGTTAGATGGGTTATTCTATCATACGAAGTACCGGAACCCGGTACGGGTTAGGGTTCGAATACCTGCGGCGGACGCACGGTGTGCGTTTCGTCCTTTCTTCCTTTTAGAACGCTCCTCCCCACCCTTGAATTTTCGATGTTTCGACTTGAAACTTGCTATATGGCCTCATCATTAGTCCGTTTGTTTACCTTCTCGGCCGTTTCAGTCTTGGAAAAGAAAAAGTGTGTTTGCCGCCGTCTTGCTTCTCGACCTCTGTTGTTACTATCCGCCGTTCTTTCCGTTCCTTCCGCCGCGTAGTATCAACCACGAATTCGAACGCCGCAGTCAACGTGTTAATGGTCCAAAGCGCTCTCTAATTATCTCTACCCAGTCATTGACGGATCCAGAATTACGTTGTAGCAGAAAACGCTAAATTTGATCACAGCCAAAAAGATCACTCATAGACAGGTAAAAGCAAACGGCATAAACACAATGAATATAGCCCTTGACGCCTGTCCGCACGCCGCGGAACAAACTAAGTGCATGATTAAAGCCGAGGTAATTTAATACACATCGACTAACGCGACGACTAATGAACTCCGTTACATACGCATATACCATGCAACAGGTTCCACGGATCGGGAACGATAGTAATCGCGAGATTAACGAATTGTGGCCCGCAGGAACGAAAGATCCGAGCTAATCAGTGCCGTTAATCTTTCGACGTCTCGCGTAAATTTCAGTCCAGGTCATCTCGGCCGTCCTCTTTACCCCTCGTTACAACCGCCGCCCTCACTATTTTATAATCCACTTCGTCTTGCCTCGCGAAAACGAGATGGACTCATCCAATGTTCTACGATGGAAGATTAAGGAGAGTTTTGGTCTGGCATTTTGGAAAATTCGATCGTTCTGTCTAGTTTCTTATGGCTCGAGGGGAACTGTGAAATTTTTCGTATATTTCGTCAACTCTGTGTCTTCTTCGTTTGTAAAATGTTCGATATCTAATGGTGTTTGCTCTGAGTAATTAACGTTAGAACTGTCGAGCGTCGGGTTGTTGATCGAATGTAGGGTCGATCGACGCTCGTGGATGATATATTAAATTCGTTAATATATTTCTCGGCAACAATTTAGCGTCACAAAGTCGCATTGAAATTGAATCACGTCCGAATGATTGTGTGAACTGGTTTATTCGATACTACGTACGATGCGCGCCAAAAATGAATTTTTAATTCAAACTTCGAGCATAAGTTACGCGATCTTGTCTTGTGGCAACAGATTTATAATCTTCGAACAGGGATCATTTTAATAAATCTCTATTTTATTTGTAGCCCGAGTGACATATTTTCGGTTATTTAATATAAATCATTGGATTAAATGTAGTCAATTAAAAAACATTCTAGAGGGCTGCGCCCCCTCGACCCTCCTGGGAGCAATGTACGATACGTCCAGAACTGGATAAAATACGTATTTTAAATAGTAAATAGTAAATAAATATTTTATTTCGGACCATGCAAGTATTTTTAAAAATAAAATATTTTATTTGTTATAAAAAATTTTTAAGGTAATAATTCACGTAACATTGTATTCGAAAAACACTGAAAATATTTGTGCCTGAGTTTGGAATATTTTATTTATTCAATTTACTATCAGCAAATGAAACATATATTTATTTGACTACATTATGATGCAAACTACATTTATTTCGGTAATCTAAAACGAACGAAGTACTTTTCCTCTGCGTTATAAACATACATCCAATGTAGTTCTTCAATGAACACTTCTAAATATT